TCCTTTCAACTCTTCCATTTTGTTGGGGAGTATTTGGAATGCTTTTCTGATGAATAATTCCTTTTTCACTGAAGATCTTAGAACACACTGCCTGAGCTATTTCAGTTCCATTATCAGATCGAATCATTCTTATTTTTGAACTGAAATTTGTTTCTACATAAGCAATAATGAATCCAGAAACAGTGTTGGGCACTTCAGTTTTGTCTCTTAATAAGTAAGTCCATGTGTTTCTACTGCAATCATCAAGGATTGTGAGAAAGTAGGAAGCTCCAGTCATGGACTTTACTTTATATGGTCCCCATAAATCAATATGAACAAGGTCAAAGATTTTAAAAGCAGTGGATTCACTTCTTTCAAAAGGTAGTCTATGATGCTTTGCCATAATACAAACTTCACAAGACAGATTATTAACATTCTCAACATCATCTGCTAGACTTAGATGTTTCAACTTTGACAAGGATGTATGGCCTAATCTGTTGTGGATGAGCCAGACATGATCAGGAATACTACAAGATTTATTCCTTAAACACTTTGTAGTCATTACATTGTGTTTATTATTCAAATCAAAATGAACAGAACCTATTCTATTTATTTCATCTTTAACTTAAAAGATGTAGAGTCTAGATCTCTTCCTTCCAATGGTTGTCCATTTCTCAGTTGAAAGGCCCTGAATATAACATCCATATTCATCAAAACAAGTTGTCAGTTTACTGTTTTTCAGTAATTTACCTACAGACAGTAGATTGTGTTGAAATCCAGGAACATACATTACTCCTTTTAGAGTAATCTGTTTTGATAGCTGCACTTCACCAATGATATCAACCTTTTTTACATTTCCATCAGGTAAAGCAACATTGATAGGCTTATTTAGATGTGTCTTATTCTTCAATATGTCCAGATCATGAGTCATATGATCAGATGCTCCTGAATCAATTATCCATATCTTTTCCTTAATAAAATCCTTACTTTCATTAACATGTGAAGCATATATCATACCTGCCATGTTGAAATTTGCAGATGCTTGACTTGTGTTTGGATTAGATGAGCTCCTATGTTTCAGATATTCTTGAATGGTTGTAAGGTCAATCTGGTGAAGAACTTTGAAGTTTGAGTCCATTTCTTCATCAAAAGGAGTATTTTCTCCTATATCTTTGAAATTTGCTTCACAATTTGTATTACCAGCAAACTTTTTCTCATTTGAGGATCTTGAGTCCGGAGAGGCATTTTTCTTTCTTTTAGAACCTTTGTACCAATCCGGATATCCCTTGATCTCAAAACAATCCTTCATCAAGTGTCTTGTCTTATTGCAATGAGTGCATAAGAGTGATTGTTTTTCGAGTTTTGACTTCAAGTGTTCAGTCTTTGTCATAGGACTATTGTCAAACACTTTATCCTGATTAGTTGAAATCCTACTGAATTTATTTGCAGCCATGGCCATTCCACCAGATATATCATTCTGGTGTCCACATATGGACTTTTGCATCTCAACTCGTTGTATTCTGAAGAAAGCTTGATTTACAGTAGGCAAAGGATCCACACCAAGGATCTGGTTTCTCAGATGTTCATAATGATCATCAAGTCCCATTAGGAATTCCATCAATTTATTCCTATTATCTTTCTCAATGATTCGTTTCAATAAATTGCAAGTACATGACTTAACTGCTCCACATTCACACATCGGTAGTCCGTCTAGAGCTTGAATGTCCTCCCATACAGATTTCAATATTCCAAAAAACTCAGCCACAGTTCCTCCTCCCTGACTTATTTGAGTTAAATCCTTTTTAGTTGATATAAGTAAGGAGCATTGGTTTGACTGTATCGTTCCTCTACTTCTTCCCACAACTGTTTTGAGGAGCTTACATACATCATAGTCCAAGCGATTTCTGGAGACATTGAGTGAAGAAGCCAGCTCATGATTGTATAATCAACTCTTAACCATTCTTGGAAATCATCGGAATTCTCTTCTGGTTTTTTGAGTTTTCCGTTGATGAAGCCAAGTTTGTTCTTCGAGATCAATGCCATTTTGATGCCTCTGGACCAATTCAGATAATTGTTTCCATTGAAGATCTCATTTGTGATCACTAAATTAGAATGATCACTCGCAGCAAGGTATAAAGGATCTTTGTATGAACCTGTTGTACTGGAGCTTTCTGTGTTTGGCATTTTACGAAGAATATGCGTGGAAGCAACTATGTTTGATCACGCCTAGAGCTCTGATACCATCTGGAAATTAGAACTAATACAAGGATGAAGAAGGAGAAAATCAGATATCCATTAATGGAGATTTTGTTTTACAATAGAAGCTCGTTGTATTCAGTCAACATGTATCATTATATATACAATAATATGTAACTAACTTCTAACGGTATTACATAAGAAACTACTAGAAGCTTTACACGTAAGCTATATGTAATCTGAGCTTCACGATGATATATTTCACAATATTGAAATTACCACTACCCACTACAAGCATTTGTTGAACAACTTAAAGAAATATTAATCACATCTCTTGGAGATCAACAATTTTCTTATCTCATATCCACGATGGACGTGTAGGACCTGCACGCTCTACCATTAAGAGATTTAGAATATGTCGGATTAATTGTGTACATATCTACACTTTTTTTCTTTTCATGTATGTGTGTGTGTATGCACGTACACATACGTACGTATAAATGTATGTATGTACGTATGTATGGATGAATGTATCAATGTATGAATGGATGCATATATGCATGCATTTATAGATATTAGACATCACATGCAAACCTTTTTTAATTTACCAACTACAAACAAATCATGACCATTCATTTACATCTTATACTCTTCAATTACATGTAGTTTATAATGGTAGTCAGGGGTATGTCAGTGAAATTGCAAAAGTATTGTTTTTGGAAAAAATTAAAGATCATCCCCGATTCTCTCTGCAAGGTACATATATCTCCTCAATCTACATCTTCTCTCTGCAGTGTTCATATCTTTTCTCCATTTCCATCGTCATATCCATCTCCATCCTTATTTCCATTCTTATCCCCATACCCATCGACATCCACATCACCATCTCCATCCCTGTCCCCATGAAATCTTGCACGCCATATTTTTTATTCTTTATCAGATTCATCACAATTAATGTTTTGGTTATGAATCCAGTGCGCACGCCAGGAAAAATAATCTTTATGAAATTCAACAATTTTGTGTTTATGCAAAAATAAAAATGTTTAAATACTTCTACCTTAAATTGCCACAAATATTATGTATTTTGTAACCTCATAAATTTAGTATGCATGTGAGTTGGGTGTACATGCAGATGCGATAATGATAAGATGCAACATGAACTTATAAAGTGCGTGTATAATCTTACTAAAAAGCAATATACATACTTCTACCATGCACATGTCATAGTGATAAAATGCAACATATGAACTAGTAGGGTGCAACCTTGATGTATTTTTACCGCCATGTAGTTCTAGTATAAGTTATGGATACATTATAATTCTAATATTTCATATGCTTGTTCGTTGATTATATGTTCCAAATGTCATAATGATAAGATGCAACCTATGAATTTCTAAAATCTACATATAATCTTACTAAAATATGTTAGAATCCCACACCGGAAAACTTTGAATCAGTAAAGTGCTATATTAAGACATGAGTTACTCTTCCTATCAGGTTGACCTTTTAGGATGGAACCTCGGATCTTAACATGATATCAGAACCAAATCGATCCATGGTGTGGCCCCCCTAATGAAAAATGACGACACGAAAAAATTGATGACGAACCGACGAAAAAAATGAAAGATGGCACGATCACGACGAAATGTCTGGTCGTGAGGAGGGGTGTTAGAATCCCACACCGGAAAACTTTGAATCAGCAAAGTGCTATATTAAGACATGGATTACTCCTCCTATCAAGTTGACCTTTTAGGATGGAGCCTCAGATCTTAACAAAATATGAACTTCTAAAATGACTAATAATTATCTATTTTATACGGCCGGAGTATAGTGGCACAATTCCCCAACAACGACCGGAATACTCACTGAAGGACTTACTCTTCAGCGACGAAGTAATATCACCCAAGAGGGGATCTCTCCCAACCTACGACGGCCTTCCATCACCGACAATGACAGGAATATGTCTGAGATGATGATTGAATTAGGAAGACGGCACAACCGGCGAACACCTGGTAAACCCTGACCTTGTGGACAACCTGCAATTGACTTCAAGCACTGTAGGCTAGATACGTCGTTGCAGACCTGCGATCGAGACACCAAACAACTTCTTCAGATCTTCGCAGGTATGTCGCTGCTGGACAGAATTAAAAAAAAACTTTGATCGGGCATTGCAACTTCACCCTTGACATAGCAAATTATTAGAAAAAAAACCTCAATCTACTCTACACATGGTAGCATCAGTTGTATGAGATTATAATTTACCCACTTATACTGCTACTTTTAAATTATTATTACACATAATACAATTTAATTCATTATAAAGTAATTATTGTCTTTATGACCATTTTGATATATTACCCTCATCCCACTAATAAGTAATAACATTGAGACATGAGGTCGGAGGTGATTCGGTTATAAAGAAAAATTAATTTATGTGAATGTTTTTGAAGCGATGAAGTAATTAAGAATAAAGTAAAAATTGTGGTGGTTCTAGGAGGCGGTGGAAAAGGTTTCCATATTTTTTTTTTATGATTTTTACTATTATTTTTTTTTATTTGTTTTATTTTTGGACGATTTAAAAAAAAATACGATTTTTTATTATTTTTTTAATTTTATTATGCATTATAACATGTTAGTATGAAATAATACCCTTAGGGCAGTTTGGGTATGGTGAATTTGTTTAGTCCTATCTTGGAGGGTAAAAATGCAATGGTTCTATTTGTGCTTTTTTGGTTATTTTTGGTCTTAGAGCAATTACTAGGAATAAGCATATGATCGACACGATCCCTCGGCTCCTCCATTTTCCAGTTTTAGAAATGTGCAATGCCGAATATTTTTTAAAAACACAGGGACGAGAACTTCCTCCATTTTCCTTGGCTTTCGGATATTAGTTTAGGAGACAATTTTTCCTTTCTTCTTGGGAGATTGTTTAGGATCGGATCCATATATGTATAAATTAAAGCCAATGCATGCATGCATGCAATTACACATGGAAAAATGAGAATGCCTGCCGGAGGAGGATCAAATCGGAGATGATGAGCTCGATTACGTCCGTTTTGATATGAGGAACACATTATTTGAGCGCAGGCAATTCGCCAGGTCCACATTTTAGCTACCATAACGTAACTAACTAACTACCTTTCATTTTGTAAACGATCGTCGAATTGAAGACAGAATATAATAGCGCGCGCGAATTGAAGGAGCTAGCTAGGGATCGGAGAAAACCGATCAGAATGACGTCGCCAAGGAGCCACGATGCCTCGGCGGCACCGTCGTCGTTGACGCGGCAGCCTTCTCGCAGTGCCGCCATGACCACCTTCTCCATGGAAGTGTTCGACAACGAAGTCGTCCCCTCCTCCCTTCAGTCAATTTCGCCAATCCTCCGTCTTGCTACAGAGATCCAAGCAGAGCGCCCTCGTGTTGCCTATCTCTGTACGTACATTATCGCCCATCTTAATATATTGCTTGCTAGTTAATTAGCTTCGCCATTTTCCGATCAGTGCCGACCGATTCCGCGCCGATCTCCGCACTCATTTACGGTTTTCATAACTCCGATCGATCAATTCGCGCCGGCCTCCACATTGATTTTTCGTTTGTTTGTATATTTCGTTGTCTTCAATTCATTCAGGTCGGTTCTACGCTTTCGAGAAGGCGCACAGATTGGATCCAAGCTCCAGTGGACGTGGTGTGCGTCAATTCAAAACAGCTCTCCTTCAACGATTGGAGCGTGTACGTAACTCTCTCTCTCTCTCTTCTCTTCTCTTCTCTTCTCCGTTTTGTTAATTATTAGTTGCATTTCTATAATGAGTTTGTTATGTTCCCGCCTTCGTTGAATTTACTTCGGATGATAATATGGCGCCCTTCAGTCCTTTTGAACATTTTCACTTTCTATTTTAAACCTTTTTAATTTAATTCCATCTAAAATAATAATTTACTCCAAATTGTATTCTAAATTCAAAGATGTATTTTCACGGAGCTCTAATGCTACCTAAAAAATTGTATGGAATTATGGTTTTCTCAAGTTCAATTAAAAAAAGAACAAATCGGAAGCAATATAATTTTGTCCATATTTTTTATTTATTTGATGACTATTTGAATAAACCAAAAATACATTGAGGTTTGGCAAAATACGATTAGATATAAGCTATAAACATTCACGGATAGAATAATACTCCCTCCGTCCCGGATTTATCTTCATTCTTTCTTTTTCGGTCCGTTCCAAATTTATCTCTTTTTTTCCTTTTTGGTAAAGAATATGTGGTTCACAACTATTCTTACACATTTCTCTCTCCTCTCCATAACTCTCCACCGCACAAATCCCACTATCTTAAAATCGGTGCCCGGTCAAAACCGGAGTTAAATATGGGACGGAGGGAGTACTTACAAGTTATAAATGCTCCCGATTTCAGGAAATGACATTTGTAGGGAATAGTGATACTCCCTCCGTTCCTATTATATCTTCCAACTTTCTTTTTTCATCCGTTCCAATTAAACTTCCACTTTTCCTTTTTGGTAAAGAATTTGTGGTTCACAACATTTATTACACATTTTCCTCTCCTCTGCACAACTCTACACCACACAATACTCAATTTTCTTAAATTGTGTGCCAAAGTGAAATGGAAGATAAAATGGGAACGGAGGGAGTACATGTTTTTAAACAGTCGTTTATAAAAGGCATTTGCAGTGAGCCAGTGATTGTGTTTATTTAAGTATAATCATTATCTATCTTCCAAATGTATAGACAAAATGATGCAAGGTATTTAAGAATACAAAATTTGAAATAGACATCAACTTCAATTCTTTGAAAATGTTTTTTTAGAGAATTGTAATTTACACCTCACATTATCATCCACTGGAGTTTGCACTACATTATTAAATTTTCGCCGCAAAATAAAAAAATCTGCTAATAATCCAAGACTGTAAACTCCAATTCGAGAAAAAAAATAGGGTTCAAATTTTCATATTAAGGGTGAAAATGTTAGTAATTTTATAATAGTAATTGGTATGCTAATCCGGGTTTGAGAATCTTTTTGGGATGAAGCTTCAATTCCCCCCATTTTAAATCTGGGAAATTACTTCGAAAAAACTCTAAATTTGTTCTGAAAGGCCTGATGAAGAAATGGATTAAGAGCATTACGCGGAGCACTAGTCAGCAAATTGTGGATTAGGTTTCTCTAGACTCCAGTCTTAAAAATGCCTACCTCTGCACACTTCCCTTGCAAACTTCAATGCATTCAACATTTGATTACTGTTTCGAATTGAATGCAAATAATTAGAGTTAATTTACCGCCACGCATTTAGAAATTGTATTTAAAGAAGTGCACACCAACTGAACAATTCGAGCGTCTTCACTCTTCCCTATCACATACATAGAGCCATAGAGGTTTGCTGATATGAATCCTTTCAGGACAATGCATCAAGTCTTGCTTCTCGAGTGAAAAAGACTGATGCTCGAGAAATAGAGAGCTTCTATAAGCAATATTATGAGCAATATGTTCAGGCACTTAACGAGGGTGAACAAGCAGATAGGTAAGCAGACACATTCCCTCAATCGCTCTAATATTTTTAGTTCCCCATGTACTAATCCGATCCTTCGGGGAATATGTACTCTCCATAATTTGTTTAAGCACTTGACAAACAGAGCTCAGCTTGGTAAAGCGTACCAGACTGCTGGTGTTCTATTTGAAGTCCTTTGTGCTGTCCTCAAGACTGAAAAAGTTGAAGAAGTTGCTCCTGAGGTGAGTTGTAATAGCAGCAGTCTATAGGATTGCGATCTCATTTTTCAGAGACTGTATTTGTTTGTTGCCAACAGATTATTGCTTTCATCCCTTTGTTAAAGAAGTAGAAGGGGAGATGATTAAATAAAAATATGAATTGTGAAACAGATTATTGCCGCAGCAAATGATGTTCAGGCAAAGAAGGAAATCTATGCTCCCTATAACATCATCCCGCTGGACTCAGCTGGAGCTTCAAAGTCCATCATGCAGCTTGAAGAGGTGAATTGCCCATCCAATACGGTGTACCGATTGTATGTAAGCAAGCTAGTCCAAATGATGATGATTTTTTTCGATTAACAGGTTAAAGCTGCTGTCGCAGCCCTTTCAAACACATATGGATTGAGTTGGCCAGCCTCATTTGAGCCGCAAAAACAGAGAGCTGGAGAGCTTGACCTTTTAGATTGGCTAAGGGCCATGTTTGGGTTTCAGGTGTGAATTGTTTATTCACAAAATGGACACTTATGTCATTCATTCTGAGTTCCTTTATGAAATTTAAAATTCCATTGGTCTATTTGATGTCTACAGAGAGACAATGTAAGAAACCAGCGGGAACATCTAACTTTACTACTTGCCAATATCAATTCAAGGCTGGTTCCAAGAGCAGAGCCTCAAAACAAGGCACGCAAACTATCACTTTAAGCTACAAATAATTTTGTTCTCTTAAGAGTTTGGTGCACTGGCCATGATATTCATAATCTAACAAATGATTCTTCATACAATCATGTTTCAAGTGAATGTCTATATTCAGTTGTTGAGACTATTTTTTAGATACGGAATTGTACTCTCTTTTACTTAGAGTTAAGTTTTGGTTGTTTGTCGAAATAATGTCATTTGAGGAGTATTTACATTCAAACACTTATATGCATATAGTTTCCCTTATGTGTCCTGAAGTTGTACGTTACTCTTAAAGTCTCTAGAGTAGAGCTAGAAACTGTACTGAAAATATGTGATTTTACTCAGATTGATGATCGAGCTGTTGATGCACTTGTGAACAAACTTTTCAAGAATTACAAAAGTTGGTGCAAATATTTGGGTAGGAAGCACAGTTTAAGGTGAGGTATTAGGAGTTTCAACCATTTATTTTTCCAAAAGATTTCTTTCGCATGCCTCTCTTATGATTTATCCCCTATATTGAACTATTATACATTTATACATATGTGTATATGTATATATAATACGGAGTATATATGAACATATGTAGAGTGACTTCTCACGTAAATATAGTTGTTGATGATTTTAGGCTCCCTCAAGGAGAGGTGGAAGTGCAACAAAGGAAAATACTCTATATGGGCCTTTACCTTCTAATCTGGGGTGAGGCAGCTAATGTTCGCTTCATGCCGGAGTGTCTATGCTATATTTTCCACAATGTGAGTTATCTATTTTTCTATTGCACTGGCATGAATGCCATTCTCAAATATACAGTATGTACACAAATACAATCTCATTATCAGTTACTACATGTTATATCATTTTCTATATATTTATTTAGATGGCATATGAACTTCATGGTCTCTTAGCTGGAAACGTAAGCATTGTCACTGGGGAAAACATCAAGCCCTCATATGGTGGAGACGATGAATCTTTCCTGCGGAAAGTCATCACTCCCATATATCATGTGATTGACAAGGTATTATCTATAAAATATTGCAATGCCTGGCTTGTCTTGTCAATGACATTAAAATGTGTAATATATTAATCCAGGAAGCTAAGAAAAGCAAAAATGGAAAAGCTCCTCATACCTCTTGGTGCAACTATGACGACTTGAATGAGTATTTCTGGTATATAAGAATTCAAGGAAAACAGTGTATTTTTTGCTGAGGATCAGATATTTTCTCTGCTTTTACGTATTATAATTTGAATAATATTGCCCAGGTCATCAGATTGCTTTTCTTTGGGTTGGCCAATGCGTGATGATGGAGAATTCTTTAAATCAACACGGAACACTTCTAAAGTACACTTGCAGTACTTACTTGCATGTTGCTTCATATGGATGACAGTATTTATTAATGCTTTGTTTGACTTGTATTTCAGGGCAAAGGACCTTCCAACAAAATGCCTTCAGGGATGGGTAAATCGTATTTTGCAGAGACCCGATCGTTTTGGCATACGTTTCGAAGTTTTGACCGCCTTTGGACATTCTTCATTCTTGCTTTACAAGTAAATACTGAACTGATTTGTCTTTTTCTACTATCACTACATACTTATTTCTGTAAGCAACTATTGGACTGTGCTATTGCAGGCTTTGGTTATAATTGCATGGAGTGATATTTCTGTGTTGGATATATTTCGGAAGGATGTGCTATATAGTCTATCAAGTATTTTCATCACGGCAGCCTTTCTTCGCTTCCTTCAAAGTATACCCTTCTTATCTCGCTCTGTAGTTATGTCATTCAATCCATAATAACACAGTGACATCTACTCTGTATTTGACACATCTTGTAGACAGTAGCTCTTGCGTTCCCTACTTCTAGGATCAAGGGTTGGCACTTAAAAAAGAGAAAATAAAAAGTACAGTTCTGATTAACATGTATTCGTTATTTGTTCTCCAACAATTCCATTTCTAGGAATTCTAGAAGTTGTATGCTGTAGGCATCTTCTTTTGGGTATCATAGCCCTCTCTTTCTGCTAAGATCTAATGCCAAGTGGAGCATTTTAGCATACAATAAATCAATAATACTTAACATGTTATCATATAACTTTATTGGTATAGGAAGACTTTGAAGATCAACTTTGAGTTGCGGTGGTCAATTTAAAATGTGTAATTTTGAGCTTGTTGTTGATTGGGAAAATAATTTTCTTCCTTCCTTTATAACATCTAAAACTAGGTGTGCTGGACCTTACTTTGAACTTTCCGGGCTATCATAGATGGAAGTTTACGGATGTTTTGAGGAATATTTTGAAGATAATTCTTAGCCTGGCTTGGTCTATCATTCTTCCGCTGTGCTATGTGCATCAGAACAACTCTTTCAAATTTGGCCAGATTAAGGATGTTTTTTCATTTCTAAATAGATTTAAGGGCATCCCTCCGTTATATATCATGGCTGTGGCTCTATACCTGCTACCGAATTTACTTGCAGCAGCTTTGTTTATGTTTCCAATGCTTCGTCGTTGGATTGAGAACTCAGATTGGCTTGTTGTAAGATTTCTTCTGTGGTGGTCACAGGTAAGATTTTTTTATTTTAAAGTGAGTTCTGCAGATGATAAGCACATTATGTGCATTTAGGACTGGACTTGATCCATCGGTATACATATAAACATATACAAAATGTGTCATACATTCAATTTCAAGTGGAAACAAAATACGATACACTTAAGTGATAACTTTTTCATAGCTTCTGATCAGATTTAAGTTGTGGACACATGTTATGGTGGAAACTATAGCCACTGGTCTGTATGAAATAATTCAATTATGAAACTCTAATTATTTGGAATGTGCTTTATATTGTTCTCTCTTTTTTCATTTCCTTTTGTTGTAATTTCAGCTTTGCATCGAGTACATTTTTACTGGTTTTGACATGTATTGGTCTAAATGCTGCATCAAGCTCGGCTTTCAATCTTCCTGTTTCTTTTTACCATGCATATGAATATCTATTAGTTGGTAACCATAAATATCATATTTGACCTCATAATTAATATTACTTTCCTTGTTTTATCTGTTTTCAGCCTAGAATATATGTGGGACGGGGAATGCACGAAAGTCAATTTGCTCTGATTAAGTATGCTTATATGAATTTTGTATACCTTATGTTCTTGTGTTTCACCTTGTCATCTACCTTCATCATTTTCTCTAATGACAGGTATACCTTATTCTGGGTGATGCTTCTGTGTTGCAAGTTTGCATTTAGCTACTTCGTCCAGGTAGTTGCAAGATCTCGTTGGTTTTAGTTTTTTGATGTGGATACGTAGTCTTTATTAAGTAGGTGTCTTCTTGCCAAAAAAAATATTAAGTAGGTGTCTTGTTGCACCAGATAAAACCTCTTGTGAAGCCAACAAAAGATATAATGAACATTCATCATGTTCAGTATGCTTGGCATGAGTTCTTCCCCAATGGTATTTGTCCTAGTTTGCTCCTTTTAACTTATCTCTTATTCTATTTAATTAATAACTGTATATCCTAATACTAAAAGGTGTTGAACCAATGCAGCAAATAAAAACTATGGAGCTGTTGTTTCCCTTTGGGCCCCAGTTATCTTGGTTTGTCCTATTTTTCTTTTTCTTTTCCTTTTTCGGCATTATTTTCAATTTGTTAAGGTCTTTATATCAATTTCTTCCCCATAGTGTAAAGAATTGGGATTCCCTGCTTTGATCTGTGTACATTTCCTTGCATACAGGTGTACTTTATGGATTGCCAAATTTGGTATGCCATCTTTTCAACCCTATGCGGTGGTGTTATTGGGGCCTTTGATCGTCTGGGTGAGGTATTTTTTTATCAAATGCTCAAGATTTTCATATTTAAAAAATAAGCGAAGAGAGAGAAAGAAAGAAAGAAAGAAGTTGCAAGTATTTGTGAAAATCAACAAATATTCTTTTAAGACTAAAATTACTTAATCATTGCAGATTCGAACTCTTGGCATGCTAAGATCAAGGTTCCAGTCTCTACCTGGTGCCTTCAACACATATTTGGTACCTTCTGACATAAATAAGAAGAAGGGCTTTTCTCTGTCAAAACGGTTTCATGAGGTTCTCTCTATTCCCTTAGTTTATTTTATATTCTTTAGCAATTACACCTTTAAAAACACATAAAAGTTGGAAAAGTGATGTCAACTTTCTATAGATGTAAAAAGTGAGGTGGCTTTTGTGGACAGTTATGCAAGGCACTTTTGAGCCTACTGGGGCATACCAAATATCATGGTGTATTAAGAAAAAAATGCAACAGAACCTTTGAATTTGCAGGTCTCTCCGAGTAGGAGAAGTGAAGCTGCCAAGTTTTCACAGCTATGGAACGAAGTAATATGCAGTTTTCGGGAAGAAGATATTATAAGTGATAGGAAAAGTCTCCAAACTCACTTTTTTGTTTATCATTTTCTCAAGTTACAAGGTTCCTCCCGTGTCTTCTATGTGCCTTTGTCGAACTAAAATAAGTTTCTGATTGATTCAGAGAGATGGACCTGTTGGTAGTTCCTTATTCCTCGGATCCTAGTCTAAAAATAATTCAATGGCCACCCTTTTTGCTTGCTAGCAAAGTAAGTTCTTTCTACTGTAGCATTGAGTTTTTTTTGTTACACATATTAATGTAGCACCTGACTCTTTGCCACCTTTTCCAGATCCCAATTGCATTGGACATGGCTGCACAGTTTCGGCCAAAAGATGCAGACCTATGGAAACGTATATGTGCAGATGAATACATGAAATGTGCAGTTATAGAATGTTATGAATCGTTCAAGCTTGTTTTGAACACCTTGGTTGTGGGCGAGACTGAGAAAAGGTTGCTTCATAGTTAATCTCTTTATCACACATCTTGCATCTTCATCTGCTAATCCCATGTCTATTCTATTAGAATCATTGGAGTCATCATCAAGGAAGTTGAAAATAGCATTGCAAAGAACACGTTCCTTGCAAATTTTAGGATGGGTTCACTGCCAGATCTCTTTAAGAAATTTGTAGAGTTAGTTGAGTTATTGGTGAGTAAATTTGATACATATTTTTGGTAGTAGTTGTGATATTCATATGCGACACATTAAATGCTGTAATTTCATTGTTCAGAGAGATGGTGACAGATCCAAGAAAGACAATGTTGTTCTAGCATTGCAGGATATGTGGGAAATAGTTACCCGTGATATGATGGTGAACGAAATCCGGTTGGTGAATTATATGCATTGTAGAAGAAAGTCAAGAAACAGTTTCTGAGATCACTCTCAAACCACTATTTCCCTCTTGATTATAGGTGTGTGATTAATGGTTTGTTTCTTTGCTAATTTTATTTCAGTGAACTGGTAGAACTAAGCAAGGATTCTGGAAAGCAATTCTTTGCAAATACTGACTCAAGACCAGCTATAGTATTCCCCCTTAAAATGACTGCACAGTGGGAAGAGCAGGTATCTCAATTGTTCATTGATGATATAAGCAAGGTCAAGGGCGGTGGATTATTTAAAGCATGCTCAACTGTTACTAACAAAGATCAATTTTATCCTAACCACAGATCCGACGACTTTATCTCCTCCTGACAGTCAAAGAATCTGCTGTTGAAGTCCCAACAAATCTTGAAGCTCGGCGAAGGATTTCCTTTTTCGCAAATTCATTATTCATGGATATGCCGCGTGCACCTCGAGTTCACAAAATGCTTTCATTCAGGTGAAAGTTATGCATTAATACCCTTATCTCATGCATACAGTAAATAATACCAGTCCCCACCCCACAAAAAAAATTGTTTTATTAGATAAGAAACTGGATGGAAAGTGCAAAAGCAAGGATTAGTTTGTTATAGAATCACTAAATTCATGGACACAGAAAGGCTGTTTGAAGCACCAGTTTTCTTCTTTTGCTATAATACTTGTTTCTCGTGTGGATGAAATAAAGTCTGTAACCAGTCCAGAATTGGTAGAAGTCATTCACATAAATACAATCTTAAAAGGAAGCAAATAAGTTTCACAGCATCCAAACATATTATTATGTATTGTGACCCGGATAGTTAATTATCTTTACACAACAATCCATTTTTCTCGGGTTTAACATGTGAACCCCCACCCCTTCCTATATACAAATTCTGCATTATTAGCCCTTCATGGTTCAAACAATTGTGTGATCCCCCTTGTGATATGGTTAATCATGCATGCAATGCCCCGGAATGACAACATTTAAGCCTTAGTCCCAAAGAGGTTGGGGTTTTAAACATGAATTGTCTTTTATTTTATCAGACAATTAAATTTGTTCTTCCAGGTGTTAGGTGCATGATTAATCATAACATTGAGTAGTTCAATGCATATTCCGAATAAAAGGGACTAATGTGCATAATTTGTATATGAGGGGGGGGGGGGGGGGGTCGTGCATTAAACCCCAATTTTCTCAGTTATCTCATTTGACTATGCTTGGAAGTACACTGCTTTTGAGCTACTGCGCAACCTACTGGAAAGTTGAATAATAGAATTTGTTTTGCAGTGTAATGACTCCATACTATAGTGAGGAAACTGTCTACTCCAAGAGTGACCTTGAGATGGAAAATGAAGATGGTGTATCTATCATTTACTACCTCCAAAAGATATATCCAGGTTCCATTTTTCATAGCATAAGTGTCTCATCTCTTATAATATATTATCTTCTATTCGATTAGTACTCTTTTGTACGACTTCTTTCGTTCCCCTGACTACCTTCACCATATGCCTTGAAGATGAATGGAATAACTTCATGGAGCGTCTTGGATGTAAAAAGGAGTCTGAGATCTGGGAGAATGAAGAGAACATTTTGCAACTACGCCATTGGGCATCCTTAAGGGGACAGACTCTTTGTAGAACTGGTTAGTTGAGGATTAATTTTCTTCATGATAATTTTAATATAAACTATTTCCTGTGCTTTATTTTTATAACCCCTACACATGTTGGACTTTTACAGTTCGAGGGATGATGTACTACAGAAGGGCTTTAAAGCTTCAAGCTTTTCTTGACATGGCTTCAGAAGGCGGTAAGAAGAAATTGCATCTAGTGTTTATTATTTGAAGGATAAAGCATTCTAAAAATGTTTAGACAAGACCATATAGAGTAAAAAATGGGTATACAGCATTATTATACTTCTATACAGTTTTTGTAGATAGAAAATGATTCTGGAAAAAGAATGTCATGTCAAATTCTGTGCTTCAACCATATTGGCATTACTTCAAATTCTGTATATTTTGTGGGTCAGTTATTAGCTGATTTAGATTCTTAATTTCGGGCAAATTGTTTTCATAGATTAACTACCAAAATATGAAACTAGGTGCATGAGTGTATCAATAGTTAACGACAGATGCTGAGAGTAATTTGAACGTGGATTTAGTTCAAGCTTCAGTATCGTGTACTTCTCCTACCTATATATGCATTTAAAAATCAAACTTTCTATATATCATTTGTTTTACTTTCGAAAATTCAGTCACTTAGTTCATGCTGGAATTTTACATGCAATGATGCAAGCCTGCATTTTCCTATATAATTATTTTTACCATGATCATCATTGGCACCTTAAGCCAACTATGTTGGGATCGGTGGCATTAACACTATAAGTAACAGTATAAACTCATACACAAATCATAGTGGCAAAGTTTGCTGCAGTGTGCAGTTCTTGGCGCAACCTTCTAAAAGGACGGATGAGATGAAATTTCAAAACCGCTACAACCATAGAATTTTAGGAGATTTTCCGAAGGAGTAAAAACAATGTGATATTCCAAAATAGGAGTACCATATTTCCCCCCCTAAAAAGAAGTAAATTACTTTATTTCTCCCTAAGTCATATTTCCATATTTTGGCATTGCCAAGCATTAATATGTCAGTATTAATGGCATAATTGGAAGTATTTTCCAAGTATGGCGGTAAATGGTAATTATTTCTATTTAGGAAAACATAGTATTCCTATTTTCCAATATCACATTGTTTTTACTTCTATTTAGGGCATACAGAAGTTTAGGTATATTCTTTTCGAGCACTGGAATGCTCCCACAAGCTTTGGATAATATGGCCGTGATATGTCATTACATGTGACTATCCCCACTATAGAAAGAAAAGAAAAAACAATATAGAAAATACTAAAAGCAGAGGCTTTCTACATATGCATCGCATAAAACAACGACTTTGATCAGCTGTACCAACTTCATAGAATTCAAATTTGGGAAGAATCCTAACAAGTCTATGCCACATTCCCAAATGCATATTGGTGATTTTCGTTTCACAGTATTTTGCATACATATTCATGAGTAGTGGTGGGACCCTTCCCCTGACCCTCACCTTGCAGGGATGCCTTCGTGTACCGGGCTGCCCTTTTTATTCATGAAGTAGTCGTCTCCGATTGCTACCTTTTGGTCAATTTTCAGCAGTCTGATTGTCTTCATTAAATGCACAGAGCTTCTTGGAGGTTACAAAGCTGTAACCGTACCATCAGAAGAAGATAAGAAAAGTAAAAGATCATTACATGCATCATTGGAAGCTGTAGCTGACATGAAGTTCACATATGTTGCGACATGCCAGAACTATGGGAATCAGAAAAGAAGTGGAGATCGCCGTGCAACAGATATATTGAACTTGTTGGTCAAGTATGTTTCTCAATTCTCAGTGTTAAATTATAAATTTCAGTCAGATAATTTAGTTGATTGTTCCATCATACTTTCTTTGTCACAGCAATCCTTCTCTCCGGGTAGCCTATATTGATGAAGTTGAAGAAAGGGTTGGTGGAAAAATTCAGAAGGTTTATTATTCTGTTTTGGTAAAAGCAGTTGATAACCTAGACCAGGTAATGGTTGTTCTTGTCCTTGCAATGTTTTAATTGGTTGTATGTGGCTTCTGATCTTTTGGTGATATTTCTGATTGAAGGAAATCTACCGAATAAAATTACCAGGATCCGCGAAGATAGGTGAAGGAAAACCGGAAAATCAGAATCATGCTATCATCTTTTCTCGCGGTGAAGCCCTTCAAACCATTGACATGAATCAGGTAATATAGAGATCGCTTGCCTTTTACCTAATCAGGATACTGTTTGGTAGCAAATGTGTATTGATCCTTCCTTTGTAGGATAATTACTTGGAAGAAGCTTTTAAGATGCGTAACCTTCTTGAGGAGTTCAATGAAGATCATGGTGTCCGACCCCCTACAATTTTGGGTGTCCGAGAGCATATCTTTACTGGAAGGTTAGTGAGTTTTTCACCTTGAGCTTTGTACCATACCGACACAACAGGATCAGTTATATATTTATTATATCTGATGAACCTTCAAATAAATTGCAGTGTTTCATCTTTGGCTTGGTTTATGTCAATGCAAGAGACGAGCTTTGTAACCATTGGTCAGAGAGTTCTTGCAAGGCCATTGAAGTAAGTTGCTTCTTTTATGTATCTATATAACTCTTTACTTGTTTCTCAAAGCATTTCATCGTGTATATTAAAGTGTTATACGGGTGACTATGCATACATGATGATATTTCTTCCTTCAGTAGAACCCAAACCAGAAGACATAAAGTTTATGGGGTGGAAAGATTGCTATCTCATCTTTCTTGAAATGAAGTTGCTTGTTCTGTATACCTTGTCTACATGGATAATATCTATATGGACTTGAATTTAATTTTGATTAGGGAAGATCTAATTTGATTTTAAAAGGATAATTGATGTTTTATCTCTTGTAATGTTTACAAGGAAAAACTTGTGACAGATTTATAGGTAAATATATATCGTAAATTATTCTTCATTGGTTGGATTCAGGGTTCGGTTCCACTATGGGCATCCAGATGTCTTTGATAGAATTTTCCACATTACCCGTGGTGGCATCAGTAAATCTTCCAAAGGCATAAATCTTAGTGAGGACATATTTGCAGGTAATGTATAAAAGATTATATTTTCTTGTGTTGATAAAGCTGCAGAAGCTTCTCACAGGCATACTGTGTCACTTGATAGGTTTCAACTCAACATTAAGACGGGGAAATGTCACCCATCATGAATATATTCAGGTGGGAAAAGGACGAGATGTTGGTCTTAACCAAATCTCTCTTTTTGAGGCTAAAGTGGCATGTGGTAATGGAGAGCAGACTCTCAGCCGTGACCTCTACAGATTAGGGCACCGTTTCGACTTTTTCCGAATGCTATCTTGCTATTTCACAACCACTGGCTTTTATGTCAGTTCAATGGTAATTATATTCCTTTTTCATTAATTGTTGTGACTTGTTACTCTTTTTTTTTAACTTAGAGTAAAATTGCTACTGAAATGACAATTGTGGCTTGCTCTAGAATTCTAGTTCTTCAAACTTCTACGTACGGAGTAAGATATTTTTGCTGTGATAATGATTGTTATTATTTTCTTTTTAAAATGATGTAGATTGTGGTGCTTACGGTTTATGCATTTTTGTATGGAAAACTGTACCTTTCATTGAGTGGACTGGAAAAGTCAATAGTTAAATTTGCAAGATCTAAGGGGGATTCTGCTCTCAAGGCTGCAATGGCTTCACAATCAATGGTTCAACTTGGTCTGTTGATGGCGCTACCGATGATAATGGAGATAGGATTAGAAAGAGGGTTTAGAACGGCTCTAGGGGATATGATCATCATGCAGCTTCAACTAGCAGCTGTCTTCTTCACCTTCTCTCTCGGAACGAAACTTCATTACTTTGGCCGCACCATTTTGCACGGTGGGGCAAAATACAGAGCAACGGGTAGGGGTTTTGTGGTGCGACATGAGAAATTTGCTGAGAACTACAGACTGTACTCGAGGAGCCACTTCACTAAGGGCCTGGAAATACTGATTTTGCTCATATCTTACGAAATGTATGGCACTGCAACCCCAGACTCTGTCTCTACCTTGCTGCTCACTCTTCCGATGTGGTTTCTCGTGGTCTCGTGGCTCTTTGCTCCTTTCATTTTCAATCCTTCAGGGTTTGAGTGGCAAAAGATAGTGGATGACTGGGACGACTGGTCTAAGTGGATCAGTAACCGGGGTGGGATTGGTGTTCCTGCAGCCAAAAGTTGGGAGTCGTGGTGGGAGGAGGAACAAGAGCATCTACTCTATACCGGTTTGTTTGGCCGTCTCTGTGAAGTTCTTCTCTCCTTACGCTTCTTGATTTACCAGTATGGCATTGTTTATCAGCTTCATGTTGCCAACAACAATAAGAGCATCATGGTAATTTAATTTATTATGAGGACTTACCTTGAAAAACAAAATATGAGTAATTGTTTGTTATTTTTTTCAACTATGTACGTGATTAATCTTTATATAATAAAACCTTCAAAAAAAAATCTCTTCATAATAAACAAAAATAAATATGTTCTGTACAAAATACTTAAAATAAATTTAATGAGATTTCCGTACCTTTTCTTTTCCCCTATAGTTTATTTGCTTCCAATTTTCCCTCTATGCCCCCCTACCCTACTATTTTCCTAGAGCTTAAAAAGAACTCTAAATAATTTCTTAAAGAAGAGCATTTTAAACAGACTTCTAATGATGGATGATCTTCTGTGTTGGTGCAGGTGTACGGTCTGTCCTGGTTAGTTATAGTCGCAGTAATGATCATATTGAAGGTTAGTATTTAGTAGTAGAGCTGCTGAAACTCTTTCTCTCACTATCAAGTAGTATGAAAGTATTTTTTGTGTGTAACAAATGGATGTATGTATGTATGGGGTGCAGATAGTGTCGATGGGGAGGAAGAAGTTCAGTGCAGATTTCCAGCTAATGTTCAGGCTACTGAAGCTGTTCCTTTTCATCGGGTTCGTAGTGACACTGGTGATCTTGTTCGCGTTCCTGAGCCTGACAGTGGGAGACATATTTGCGAGCTTACTGGCATTCCTTCCCACTGGATGGGCCATCCTACAGATCGCCCAAGCGTGCAGGCCCATAGTGAAGGGGGTGGGCATGTGGGGCTCTGTCAAGGCTTTGGGGAGAGGATACGAGTACATACTGGGCCTCACTATCTTCACACCTGTCGCTGTTCTGGCCTGGTTCCCCTTCGTGTCTGAGTTCCAAACAAGGCTGCTTTACAACCAAGCCTTCAGCCGAGGCCTTCAAATTCAACGCATTTTAGCCGGCGGCAAAAAGCACAAATGAGAGACAGAAAACAAAACTGTTCAAAATGGTTACCTCCTGTGTATAATATCTTCTCATCATTTCTTATGGTGGCATCACAACTTCACAACCAAATTGATTCGAAGGCAAAAAAAAAATCATTGGGTCATAGTTTTCTGTTTATGAGGTTAACATGTTCACGAAAAATGTAGCGTATACGCAAACATAAATGCATGTTCCATAAACTTTCAGTCTTCGGGGTTCTACACAACTTCCATTCATGCCACAACTACAGAGCTATATTACACCTGTGTCATTCTAATAACATCTTTGTTTAGCTCTGGGCTCGTCCCCTTTTCATTAGGAGTTTAGTAAAACGCTTTCAACATGTCAAATTGGTGATTGAGACCAAGTCCTATAAGACCAAATCTCTACAAGAAATGAGATTCAATTCAAGACCGAATCCTAGAGCGCCTGATTGAGAGTTTGAAATTTGTCCCATTCTCAATCCATAAAATACATGTTCACTCACTTTGCACTATACAGGTCGATTTAGAAATAGTTATCCGTCAATTTAACCGTGCACACTTAAATTTATCACACATTGACATTAGATCGGGAATTTCACACCTAAGGGGGTTACTTTTAGGTGTGTAGTGTCTGAATTTACCTTGTGTGCAAGTTTAAATTTAGGTATGTAATGTCTCGAATTTCTGTCTTCTGAAATCTTCCTAGTGATTAGCTTCAAATTGTGCCCAAATGATGAAAACTAGGGAAATTACTCGCAAAATTTGATCTACTTAGAGGATCCTTAATGCATAATATTAGTCGGTAAATTATGTCACCTCATTAAAATTAGACATTATGTATCTTGTACCCTCGATAGGTGTTGTCTTTGATGAGTTAGACAAAAAATAATTAAATAGTGTGAAAGAGTAAGTGTAGAAAGCCTGATAAACTTACTGGCTCAACAAATTATAGTAAAAAGTTGAAGTGTATGAAAACCAAATGACTAGCCAAAGTTTCGCCGAAAATCCCTCGCTCACCTCTCTACATCCCAAATCATGATATGATCAAATATTATATGGAGTATATGTATAGCCAAAAGGCCCAAAACAGTCCATGGATATAAATCTACTTTGGACGACATTTATTTTTATTTTTAAAGACAAACTAATACTCCCTTTGTCTCAAATTGAGTTGTGAAATTGGCATTTTAGGTCAAACAGATTCATTTTATTCGTAATTAAACTTGCCACCACGATGCGTACCCTTGCTTATCGTATATACACTTTTACTATTGAATATTTCACATTTAAGATTAGCATTTTGCCATCAAGATTTTTGATATATTCTATTCACTTTTATGTGATCAAAAACTTGGACCAATTCTCATTTTTCACGTGAAGACTTCTTTGTATTAGAACTCTTCTCCATTCACTTTTTTATTTTATCTTTAGACTTCGATCTGGCCCAAAAAAGAGTAACAATAACCGGGTTTAGGATCGGGACTGGACCAACCGGCATCCATTATCGGCCTAGACCCAGGAAAAAATGGTTCGGGCATGGATCAAAGCAATTTTTTTTGGACTGGGCGGTTTTGGTCTGGAATCAGGATGGACCCAGGTCCACAACATACACACATTTGTGGCTATTATAAATTGGAATAACCATTAAACCACTGCGCAAACCCACAACATACACACATTTGCTTGTGCTGTTGTGCAGTAGAAGGGCGAAGCGCAGGCGCCACCACTGTGGTCAGACACGAGGGATAAATAACAAAGGGCTTTGTGGTGTAGAGGAAAGAGAGAGAGTTAAGAGGGGAGAATGTACATACTACGTTGTGACTTGTGAGAAAGTGAGAAGAGTAGGTTTTATGTTTTTAAATTTAAAAATATAAGTATTTTTGGGGGTACTAAAAGGGGTTCTTATAGGAGTTTTATGTATATGGCTTGTTTGGCGGGATAGCATAGCCGATAGCGGGTTGTCAATAGTGGATTCCGTCAGCAAATTTGACTAGCGAAATAAGTTGTCAGGTCTTTAAAAGATGTTGGCACTCCGTATTTAGCTGTTTGGCGATAACGATCACTCAATAGAAAATGTCATATTTCAAAACGTTAACTCAAAACTCTCCTATTTACGTCATTTTCATTTTAACGGTTCAATCCAAAAATGTGATGACCGAACAGTTATTTACCAAACAACATTTTCACTTATTGAAAACGCTAACATGGGTCAAACCGCCATTTCTTGGCGGAAACGCCATTTTTTCAAACACCCTCACAATGTGCACGGGTTTTTATCACCATAGGCCATAGCTGCCTGCCATAAGGTAGGACATGATGAGTTAATAAAAACAAACACTGAGCTGAAAACAAGTGTTTCAGCTACATAGATCAACACTGCCTCTATAATAGAAAGAAATCCATTGCAAGACCAAATCCTATAGCGAGTGAGTGAGACCCGTCCCCTTCTCAATCATCAAAATACAGCTTCACTCACTATGCACTAAACCAATCGATGTAGGAGGGACAGCCTTACAATACAACTACACCTGCTGACTTACTCATACCACCATTAATACCCAAAAAAACAGTGAGAGAGAGAGGGAGAGAGAGAGAGAGAGACCATTGTTGAAGACCTACCTAGACTCAACACCACAAGATTCAGAGCCTCTGAGGAATGATCTCCTCCACCAAATCTGGAATGCCTTGCTAAGGTTAGGGCATTCAGTTCCATTCTTGGAAAAACACTGGAACCAATCCATGAATAGCAAATATTGCTCCTTCAAAGGAAGGGTTAAGAGTGATTGTCCCATGGCCTCCTCCACCGCCTTGATATCCAGTCCCTTTTTACACCTCTGTAACCAACCAAAGTCTAAAAGCATTGGTCTGAACCATGCCTGCATTAGCCCCAACCTTGCTTCTGACCGACAATGCATCTTTCTGGTGCCCATCGCGACAAACAGCTGGGCAGAAACCCGGCTCAGCTCATACCTAACCATCGGCGATGCACCCTTGTGCAGGTGAAGCAACCTCACTTGGTCTGTCCACATGTCGACCAAATCCTCCGCCATGTGGCGATCAAGCAGAATCTCAAGCAGCCAGTTCATGTTGTCCACCTGGATCGATATACGCTCAATCAATGGCGGCTTAGCTTTCCCATATGGGTTGTTATTGCTGGTGGCCTCCTCAAGCAGAGTGACCAGGGAACCCAGGCAAGACCTGCAAACACCGAATATATCCTCTTTGTTCAGTTCAGGACGTTCCTCCTTTTCATAGCTCTTGCACACAAGATCCTTGACTAAGGGTTTGAGCTCGTTTCTGGCATTAGCATCACTGCAGGTGGTCACTGACAAAACAAGATCCCTAGCTAATTTCTGTTCGGAATCAAGGGAGTCTTGCACATAGAGTCTGGCGAAAATGTCTCTAGCTGGTTCATCATCGTTATCGTCAAACTTGAGTTTAGTAAACAAGTTCCTGAGCTTTTGGTCTTCCTCTTCAGTCCAAGGCATGGCCTCAATGTACTCTAGGCATGACAGAATGCCCCTTGTGAACTTGATGCCTACTGATACCTAAATTAGTAGAAACAAAAGAAAGAGTGATAAAATTTAGTCTTCATCATAAAAAACATGTCAACTTATCAACTGCCATAATAGACTTTGTGGCAAACGATGTTGAATTGAGTCAGCCAGGATGAAAACTGGAAAACTCATTTTCACTTTTTTCTCGAAGTCTCAAAGGTGTATTTATTTCTAATAGAATCACTATATATTGATATTGGTATGACTACTGCTCCTGGACTTTATAATATGTTGTATAAAAATATTGATTGATTCCTTTAGCACTAATATGACTAAACATATTTCATTCAGAGGAGGGAGTGAGAGAGAGGTTGACAAATGAAAAAACATTGAAGTAAAAATACCCGATTAAAAGAATCAATGTTTTGGGCCGAAGATAGTACGTCTTCAGAATTTCTGTCTAAGTTTCTTCAGATTTTAAAACAAAAGTTTATTAACTTCAGGAAAAGGCAATTGTTCAAGAGATTCAGGCCAAAAGAGGCTAAAGAGACAATAAGCATAAAGCATATAGCAATCAGACGTTAGGCACAACCAAACCAAAAAACGACTATGGATTTATGGAGGCCAAAAGTGTATGAACATGTATATGTGCTTTTCCTGTTTAGACTTCAATCGAAAAGTGATTACCTCAAGCACGTCAATGGCGCGATAAACCCCAATCTTTAGGAGTCTCTTGGGGATATCTTCTTCAAACATGAGCTCAACCGCCTCGCGAAAGACCCCCAAATTATCCACATTGGGGACCTCTATCGTACACAAACCCTTAAACTTTTTCCTGTAATCCGCCATCGAATCTGCAAACACCGAGCTGTTTGCAGCGAGGACCTCGGAGTTCAGCTCCAACGCCCATTTCACCCCATTCTTCCCCTTCAGATTCAGCCTCACGTCGAAGATCCCCAAATCGCCGTCCTCCTTCAAGGCGGCATTGTTGTCGGGAGAGGAAACCACGCACTCAAGACGACGCGGAGGGGATTTAGCAATCTCAATGGAGGATGCAGGGGAGTGCGGCTGGAACGCCGGATTGGGGGCAGCTAGAGTCTCGTCGAGAGAATCTATGGGCGAGACCCGGCCCGGTGAGAGGATCCTGCGGGGCCCGACCCGGGTGGCGACGCTGTTAGGTTTGGAGCAGCTCTGAGACTGAGGTGAGTCTGGGAAGGAAACGGAGCTGAGTGTGGAGGACTTGACGGGGAAGGTGAGCTCGTTCTTCTGGGTAGAGGCGGAGCGAGCGGGAACGTGGTTATCGGGGCTGTAAGGCGGCACGGCGAAAGAGCAGCACCACGAAGAACGGCGGCGATGCGACAGAGGCGGGCGTTGGTTGCGGGATTTGGGCCGTGCGTCGGACATTTTTGGGAAACGATGATTCAGGCGAAATCAAGAATCAGAACAGAAACATTGATGATCTGTTTGAGTGGAGTGTAAAAGGATGGGATTCCGTGTGAGACAGAGCTTGGATCAGCATTAGTTTCTCTGCTTTTCCTTTTTCTGGAAAAGAAAGAGCTTTCTCGACAACTGCTACCTTCCTTTACGAAACAACAACGTTGAAGAATCAAACGACTGGATGAGATTCCCATTTTTGAGAGTATAAGCAAAGCACAGTTTCTTGTTTGCCCCGCTGCTAACTGAGCTGGATTTTGGGTGGGCACCACCTTTCGCTTTTGGCTTTTTCCTGCATTTCTTTTGACTCCCTATTTCTTTAGAAAAATTCTATCCATACACACTCTTATTAAGCTCATGGGTCAGTAAACGATGCTTATTAAGATCCACGTTAATAAGCGGCACATAAAATAAGCAGTGTTGTAAGCTCATGTTTACTTCAAAGGATTTAAAACACCGTTTAACATTTAAATGTCCAAAATAACCCTATAAATATATATACACACACAAACATTCATTAACAAAAGTATATAATATAATATAATATGTGGGGTCACCTCGTACGCTTAGTCGCTTACCCACACCCCTAACCCCTACCCCACCTTGTTCCCCCACCCCTCACCCTACCCCCAAGGTCGGGTCAAGGGTGGGGGTGGGGGTAGGGGTGGGGTTGAGGTCGGGTCAAGGTAAGGGAAGGTGGTAAAGGGGTAGGGTAAGGGGTGAGGGGTGGGGTAGGGCAGGTAGTGGAGGGGTCGAGATAGGGGAAGGTGGTAGGGGTACAGGGGTAAGGGGGTGGGGTAGGGCAATTAGTGGAGGGGTCAGGGTAAGGTGGGGGTGGGGTATGGTCGGGTCAAGGGTGGGGTCGGGGTAAGGTGGGGTAGGGCGGGGTAGTGGTCGGGTCAGGGTCGGGTCAAGGTAGGGGAAGGTGGTAGGGGTACAGGGGTAGGGTAAGGGGTGAGGGGGTGGGGTAGGACAGGACGTAGAGGGGTCAGGGGAGGTGGGGGTGGGGTATGGTCGGGTCAAGGGTGGAGTGGGGTGGGGTCAGGGTGGGGTTGGGATAAGGTAGGGTAGGGTAAGGGCAAGGGGTAAAGGTAAGGGTAAATTCGGAAACTGAAAAAGCTTAAAGTGTCGCTTAATTAATACATGGGGATGGTATGATTAGTAAGCGGCGCTTTAAGCACCTCTTTTGGTTAGTAAGCAGCGTTTTAAGCAACTTGCGTGTTTACTTCACCTGTCTTACTAACCTAACTGTGACTTTAGCAGCGAAGTAAACGCCTCCTTAGTACACACTATTGGCTTTTTTTAAAATGCGTTTTGTCTGGGGCAGTAATAAAAAAAACCTTCACATACATGAGTGTGTGTAAGAATTTGTACCAATAGTGTGTACCCCAAGTTTCATTCATTTCTTTATATGAGCTACCTATAATACAATATTTTTCTCATTTATTCCATATGAAATGAAAGTTAGGGTCTATTTGGTTCGAGGAATATCAAATTATTTTGAAAATATTAGATTACTAGATATGATAGATAGATGAGAATGTGTTTAATTTGTAACTCATTTGTGTTCGGTTACAATAAAAAAGATCGAAGGAATGTGACATTCAGATGTTTGGTTGAATGAATTCTTATATTGCATGTTTGATTAATTACTTCAATGCCCTTTAAATATTTGTTTCTTAACACATTAACCTTATTACAACCTTTAATTAAACTAATTAAAATTATAGAAAATTAAATTTTCTTAATAATAATTAAAATCAAAACTAATTGAATTAATTTTAAGAAAAGTACGTTTAATTGTACAAATGACTAAGATTAGTGAACGTTAGTAAATAATTTTAAGCAAAGTATGTTTAATTGCACAAATGACAAAGATCAGTGAACATTAGTAGCAAAAAACAAGTGAATGTTGTAACTTACAAGTTACGTAACATTTCATTTGTATACTAAGACAATAACACAATTGCACAGAATCTATCATTGGCATTTGTATTAACTTCCTGGATGATCAAAATATACTAGCAAAACTAAAGTTTAGAGATTTCATCACCACTCTTGCTTTATATTACAATCCAAAAGTAACCCATTCAGAAGAATTTAGAAGTCAAATGTGGGACGATGTGGAGCCAAATCTCCCAATTGCTTTAGAACATAATCCTTTCTAAATGCAATAGGAAGAGCATACAAGGTGTCAAGCTTGTGAGCATCTTTCAATATGTGCTCGCCCGCATCCATCACTTCTTATTTTGAGAAAGCATCCAATTTAATGATCTCCTCAAAAATCATCAACTTTCTGTCATTCTCAATAGCTTCTTTACTGAAGAAGGAAGAAGTACTTTTGAGGCACTCGGTGTTCTCATGGTAAGAAGATGCAAACTTTTCTATCTCAACAATCAAATTAGTTAAACTGTCATCCCGCACTTTCCTAATTTTGCTAGTCACATTTCCAGCTTTCCTATTTGATGTCTTGCTTGTTGCTTGGATAGCAGATGCAACATCTCTACTTGCCCCTATATTATTCATTTGATCTTCACCTTATGCACTTTCTTGTTTGATGCCTTGCTTGTTTCATCATCTCCTACTTCAATATCTTGAAAATCAATTTCTTCGCCAATTTCATCAAGCTCTTCAATCGCATCAGTTGCAGTCTCTCCTCCTGCTCTAGTAGCTCGGCCTTTCCCAAACATCTAAACTAGTTCATCATAGTGTGGAAAAGGTTTGTTCCTTAAACCAAGAGCACTTGGATAACTCTTCACATAGAAAGGACACAAAAAAATAAGACTATATGGTAGATAACTATTATACACTAGGCTTTATGTTGGAAAAATGTGTTAAAATTGCATTAAATGGTCATTTTGAGACAATTATTTGAGTGGGTTCCACTTCCGATTTGGGTCGGGTCATATTGGTTTCTGATTGTCCTTGTTAAGGGCTACAATTCGATATATGGTACGCTCAAAACGGATAACGGGTGAATGAGAAATTGATTCTCGAAGTTCACTCGTTGAAACGGAAAAATTGGGAAAAAGGATGGGTTTCTAGTGTGTTTTATCTCACACCGGAAAACCCAAGGGATTTTCACCCCTTTATAAAGGGAACCCACCTAGAAGGGGTTAAGATTCCTTAGGGGAAAGGCTCTCTTCGCGCGCAAGGGGGGTGCCGATCAAATCCTGAAAACGGGGAAGAAAAACCGTGACTCGTGTGCGTGGGCGACCTGCGGACACGAATGTCGTCCGAAAATCTATCATTCAAAGATACGATTTAATTTTTGTTTCTTCCCGTAACGTTTTATTTTTCCCAGAACCAGAAATGCTCAGTGGTCTTCTGGTGCGGCAGAACTGCTCGGTCTCTGTTGGCTTCGGGAGCAGAAGACCATGAGGTCTTCTCTGGTGGTTTCCGGACAGAAGACCATGAGGTCTTCTGCTGGCTTCCGGACAGAGGACCATCGAGGGGTTCTGGTCGCGCAGTTATCAGCCGTTACAACAATAAATGCCCAACGTTCTTATCTTTTAATGTTGTGTTAAATGGACAGTTTATGGACGATTCAATGCCCAACGGACTGGTCATTGATGTCCAACGTTCAGGTCCATTAACACTCTGTTTAACACACAACGAATCCTCCTATAAATAGCTGGCAGATGGTTTGCAACAAGACACAACGCACAATACATTTCTCACGAATTTCTTAAGCTAAAAATACCTCCAGCTACTCCAAAAATTCCTGAGTGTTCTTCTTTGTTCTCGTTCGCCGGAACTTTCGTTTGTGTGCTCAAACGTTAGTTCGTTACCCACCGTATCCTGGAAAACGATCATTGCAACGCTTCTAGCACCGTGGGAGGCGACGAATACGTTTTAAGTACATCATGCGTAGCACGAGCTCTGGCTAAACTCTACTCCATCTCATTTCTGTTTACTTTAGTCGTTTTAATTAATTAATTTTAGTAATTATTTTCTTTGTTTTTCGAAACACACCCAACACTTGGATAACTCTGCACATAGAAAGGACACAAAAAAATAAGACTATATGGTAGATAACTATTATACACTCGGCCAGTGGCGGATCTATCACTTATATTTTGGGTGTTCAAAATCACATTAAAACTACAATTTCAAATGATGGTATGAAGTACTCCCTCTGTTCTTTATTATCTGTCCCGCTAGCCTTAGGCACGGGTTTTAATAGAAAAATAGTAGGGTAAATGTAGAGTGTGTAGGGTAAATGATAAAGTAGGAAAGAGAGTATATTAAAAAGAGTAAAGTGATGATAAAGTGATGATAAAGTAGGAAAGAGAGTATATTAAGTAGAGTAAAGTTATGATAAAGTAGGAAAAGGAAAGTAGTTTGTAAAAAGTAAGAAGGGTAAAAGGGGTTTAATGCATCAAACCCCCTCATGAAATGTAAATTCGGCGCATTACCCCCTGTGATTTAAAAAATGCGTCAAACCCTCTTGTGTTATCATTAATCATGCGCCAAACCCCCTCCAAGAACAAATTTAATTTCAAAAAAGATGAAAAACTATTAGTTTTTTTGTATAATTTAGAAATTTTGACAAAGTTATTTGCATATTCAACCATATTATTAAAAAAAGTGATTTCAAAATTTTAAAATTTGTTCTTGTAGGGGATTTTGCGCATGATTAATTAAAGTACAGGGGGGTTTGACGCATTTTTTAAATCACAAGGGTCTAATGTGCCGAATTTATATTTCACGAGGGGGTTTGATGCATTTAACCCGGGGTAAAAGTAATAAAAGTGGAGCTATTTTATCAAAAACATTCCTAAAATAGAAAGAGAGAGAAATAATAAAAAACGTCCCAAAAAGGACTGCGAGACAGTTAATAAAGAACGGAGGGAGTATTAGTTTATGCACTTTTGTCATTCCAATAAAAAACTACTAAATGGTTGACAATTATACACTTATCTTTTTCGATGAAACTACTAGTACTAAATTAGTAAATTGTCATTAAATTATTACACTCTACCATAGACATTAGGAATAAGGAAAGTAGTATATATGTTCCAAATTTTGAAATAAGCAATTGTTGGAAAAATGTGTTAAAATTGCATTAAATGGTCTTTTTGGGGCAATTATTTGAGTGGGGTCCACTTCCGATTTGGGTCGGGTCAAAGTGGTTTCGGATTGTCCTTGTTAAGGGCTACAATTCGATATATGGTACACTCAAAACGGATAACGGGTGAATGAGAAATTGATTCTCGAAGTTCACTCGTTGAAATGGAAAAACTGGGAAAATGGTGAGTTTCTAGTGTGTTTTATCCCACACCGAAAAACTCAAGGGATTTTCAACCCCTTATAAAGGGAAGCCTCTTTTAAGGAGTTAAGATTCCTAAAGGGAAAGGCTCTCTCTTACGCGCAGGGGGGGGTGCCGATCAAATCCCGAAACGGAGAATAAAAACCGCGACTCGTGTGCGCGGGCGACCTGCGGACACGAATGTCGTCCGAAAACCTATCATTCAAAGATACGGTCTAAGTTTTGTTTCTTCGGATCAGAGTTGCTCGAACTCTGGTGGCTTCGCATCAGAGTTGCTCCAACTCTGGTGGGGGTATTCTGATCGCGCACCAGAACTGCTCCAAGCCGTTACAACCATTAAATGCCCAACGTTCTTGTCTTTTAATGCAACGTTAAATGGACAGTTTATGGATGATTCAATGCCCAACGGACTGGTCATTGAAGTCCAACGTTCAGTTCCATTAACACCCCATTTAACACACAACAAATCCTCCTATAAATAGCTGGCAGGTGGTTTGCAACGAACACAACACACAATACATTCCTCACAAATTTCTTGAGCTAAAAACACCTAAAGCTACTCAGCAAACTTCCTCTGTGTTCATACTTGGTTCTCGTTCGCTGGAACTCTTGTTTGTGTGCTCAAACATTAGTTCGTAGTCATCGTATCCTGGGAAACGATTGTTGCAACGCTCCTAGCACTGTGGGAGGCAACAAATACGTTTTAAGGAAATCGTGCGTAGCACGAGCTTTGACTAATTCTGCTTCATCTCCTTTCCTGTTTTTCTTTAGTCATTTTATTTAATCAATTTATTTTAATTAATTTTCTTTATTTTCCGAAACATACCCAACAACAATTTCGTAAAAGAGCAGCGGGCCAGCAACATTCTAGTATGCACCAAAGCACTAGTATTTGAGCAATTATATTATTTCTAGCGAGGACAAAATAAGTGGAGCTCTAACTTAAAAACAAAGCATATTTTTGCCAAATTATGCCAAATGACATCATCATCATGGGTACTGTTTTTTGAAAATTCTACCTGTTCAAGTGAATACTCTTGAACAGCATTGGATCCGCCACTGCACTCGGCTTTATGTTATAAGTTTTTTACAATTTCAGAAAAAGTATAAATACCCAACTCTAATCCAATCATCAAAGACATCCTTGGTACAAGTCACATAGTGATCATCTTCGTTCCAACCAAAGCCACTTGTATGATTTAGCATTTCAGAAATGGCATGATATTGTTTTTTCAACAACTTTGTTCTAGACTCAAAATGAGGATTAGCCCTGATATCGGGTCCAGGATGTTTCACTTTTATCATCTTTTCTAAATGATCCAAGTATCCAGTTTTGAAGCCATTTTCTCCTTTACAGCAAGGGTCATGGTAGAGATCAACAAGACAATACACTAGAGCTTTGTTTTCATTATTTGTCCACCGGTGCTTAGTAACAATTGATTTCTTGATGCCAATTCTTTTTTGTTGCTTAGCAGTTGTCTTTTCTTTCAAATTTTTCGGATCCATTTCATGTACTTATCATCACAAGAAAATTACATATAACACTAACAATAATAGGATAAATTAAATACAATAATATAATTAAAACAAGTATTCAATTAACAAAGAGGTATTGAAATTAAGCAGAACAAATTACAAATATGAAACAAATATATTAAGCATATTAGCAGTTTTTTGTGCAAATAAAGCTGAAACAGAAAATGACATTAATAAAAGATCACTAATAATTATGTGTCCAAGAAGTGAACATTTCATCGACTAACTTGTCTCTCCATTCAGTCCATGCAACACTAGGCTCACAATGTCTTATCAACTCCTCATCATCACTGGAATCATCGTCATTATCGCTTTAGCTCAACCTCAGCCTCAATAAGATCATGTTGTTATTTCTCTTAACAAGTAAATAAATTGAAATGAAAATCATCATGAGAAGCATATTTTCCATTTTCATCATTTGCAAAGTTAAAACAGCGGCCAAGTGCATCTTCTTTTTGAACTAACAATCGAGCCATAAAACCTAAAACAATTATATAATATATAAGACTCAAATATGCGGACAAATATTAATATATTCTTTAATAATTACTCAAATCAATGCACCAAATTGTGCATTTTGAGTTTAAATAATGAAAACATTTTAAGTTTAAACATTTTTATGCTAATTATCCCTACCTAAAGAGGGATTTAATAGCCTTAAAAAGAAGATATGATATCCTTCGCTCTACTTAGAAGAAGCTTAAAGAAAAATAAAAGAGGATTAATGATAAACTACCAAGTGAGATATTAGCCCTATAATCTGACTTTTTTCATTTATCCCCTGCTCTGAGTTTCATTCTACTTAAAAAGAATTAGAATACTAAAAGGAGACAAAATTTACAAGACAACAAGAAAATTTAAAAGGAAATTTAAACGGAGATAAACTACCAGGTTTGCAAGAAGCTTGAAGAGAATGTAGCCCTATAATCAACAAATTAAAGATAAAAATGGAGAAAAAGAATAGATTAAAAGAAAATTAAAGAAAAATCAAAAGAATATTGAAATATGATTAAAGATAAACTACCATATAAGAATTAGCCTTTGCCTATAATTTGTTTTGAGACAACAACAAATTCACTGATTAACTCACCATAGATTAAATGTCCGGTTTGATAGAACAAGGAGGGAGCAGAAGAACACGTACAAAAACTTGAAAAACAGAGAAAAATATTACCTGATTTTGAAGATGGAGAAGAGAGTTGTTCGGCGGTTGTCGTATGAAAAATGGAGAAGAGCGTTGCGTTTAGTGGTTCTCTCGTATGATATTGTCCTCCTGACTATATGAAGCATGGGCATTTTGGAAGAGAATTAATAATCAATCGGGAATGCAACATAACCTAAGGGGGTGATGTGAGTTTTCTCGCATTTAAAATATGGATAGTAGTATAGGGTGTAAGCACGAGTATCGTCTCCACAGGGACGAACAAAGGGGAATTAAGAATTAAATAAATTCAGCGATTAAAAATAAATAAAATAAAATAAATTATGCGAGAATGGTTTGGTTTGGAAAATTAAATTGCAATTGAACGAATAAAATAAATGGGTTCTTTCTGATTAACGACGAAGGGAACAGGGATTGATTCTGGGGTAATCACATTTCTGGCTGATCAGGATTAATCACATGAAATTAATTTAATTGAGACTCGTTAATCATTACTAAGTTCTAACCGCTCTCGCGGCGTAGAGTACAATAATTTAGGGAATCAGGCTGATCTCTCATGCGACAGGTATCTAAAATTATTCCCAAAACGAACGAGCGTACGGCCCCTTAATCGTTACTAATCTCTTAGCGAACGATTAAGTGTGTGTGAAGGTGTCCTAGAATAAATTAGATCTCTCTTAATTTATTCTACATGCAATTATAATCCTAGTGGCCATTCTAGGTCACAAGAGATATCAATTGAATCATTCATATACAAATTAAATCAAGATTCATTCAATTATTTCATCATGAATTTAGTCATACATCATGATTCACCCATTCATCCATCCCAAACCCCTAATTAAAACTTACTCACAACTCATCATTGAAGAATCAATAGAATTGGAAAAAATAGAATTAATTGTCACGAATTAAAAACTAGGAACTTACAAATAATCCAAGGGAATTGAAGAACAAGATGGAAAAGTAGAAGAAATTTCGTCCCTAGGCCTCTCTCTAAGCTCCGTAACAAAAAATGAGGAATTACGGGATGTTTAAATAGAAAACAGATCAATCCAGGTTGAAATAGGACTCCTGGAGGCGAAAAACTGTCACGCACGGTGTGCATCCCCCCACGCACGGCCGTGCGTGGCTGCCAGTGAGTTTTCCATCTTCTCACCTCGGATGCACGGCGTGCATCCCCGGACACACGACGTGCGTCAAAATTCCGAATTTGACTTTGCTTACTTCATGAAAGTTGTAGATAATGAAATCCTCTATCCACCACAACTTGCCGAATGGATTTTGAATCATCCAATCAAAATATATGATCAAAATGGTGGAAGGTCTCATTCTGGAATCTCAACAGCGATCATCCGACTTCATCGTCTGTTTTCACCTTTCTCCTCTCAGATTCTTGAAATGGTGTCTTCATATGATTTGTAACCCTTGATGTTGGCTTTCATATGAGACTTGAATCGTGTCCTTTTGATTCTTGTAAAAAGAGATATGCTTGAACGATTGACAGAAGGTCATCCTGATCGTCGTTTTCAAGCTCTATTTGTCTTTTTTTGATCCCGTAGCCAATCCTAGAGCTCTTTTGTCATCAAATCTTCATTATGAACCTACCGGTGACCTCTAAAGCTCTCAATTCACTCTCTAATGCTTCTCGAATCATCCCGTTTTCTCCTCAAGCGCCGGTGTCGGACTCTAAATTCCTGATTTTGACTCCAAACAACACCAAACTCGAACCAACGTCCGGTAAACATAACTTGAGCTAAAATTGAGACTTGCAACACCTTAAAGCTAGGAAAATCATCAAAAGTCAATCCCAACACGCATCAAATGCGTGTCAAAATACGAACTTATCAGGGGGTAGTGGGTTTCACATTATGGGTAATGAGATTACCCTTTTCACTTTTTGGGAATGTAACAATCCCAAATTTTGTTTCAAACCCGCGAACCAAAACGCAGGTATCTCACATTCCGGGCATCAGATTCCGACATGTTTAAGTGATTACCTCCAACCAAACGTGTCCTTAGGGTTAGAACACGGAACATCAATCCGATTATATGCATGTATGAGATTATTAGGATTTTTTATGGGACTCAATTTGATCTCCAACTAAATCAGAGCCGGTTAAATTAGATCAAATTAGATCATATCAAATTTAAACAGATAAAATTAGATTAGACGTTACTAGTCAATAAAATTCAAACTATAGTAAAATACGCATAGAATACACATTTATCATATTAAAGCAGTCATACGTGATTAAATTCAAATAGATGATAATAAGGTCAGAATATAAAACTTCTGCCCAGTTTAAAGCATTCTCTTATTTGATCCACAACTACAAATGTAGAAAATATTACCCCGTTGCGTCAAATTTTTGAACCAATTATTTCTTATCAGGTAAAAGATTGATCTACCTATTTATAAATTTGTCAAAATTATTGTTGAGGTTTGTCAATATTACTTTCTACTATGAGAGCCCAACATGTGCTTTCAGGGTTTGTCGGTTGGTGCATATGTTAAGGTCATTATCTAGTGAGATGATAGTGATAAACAATTCCTTTATGTTCCAAACTAAAGATTTCGCACTTGGCATATGCTGATGATTTAATGCTTTTTTCAAAGGGTGAACCCAAATCTATTCAGATATTGGTTGATGCTTTACATGATTATGGTAGGGTTTCTGGCCTATTGGTCAACCAGAACAAATCCAATATCTTTGTAGGGGGTCATATAGCAAACAAACTACCAAATATCCTACAAATGGTGGACTTTCAATAAGGATCTTTCCCAGTGAGGTACTTAGGTATTCCTTTGGCCCCTCTTAAGATATTTGTAGCCCAATTCTCTCCCTTGATTGATACGGTTACGGAATACTTGAATGCATGGAATACTAAGTCCTTATCTTATGCGGGGAAAGTTGAGTTGATAAAGTCGGTTATACAAGGGGTGCAATCCTTTTGGCTAGGCATCTTTCCGGTCACTAAAACTATTTTAGATAGAATTGTTAGCCTTTGTAGAATTTTCCTTTGGGGGGGGGAGGACATGCAAAAGTGGCATGGGAGGATGTATGTTTACCAAAAGAGGAAGGGGGATTAGGTATTACAGACACAAAAGTTTGGAATAATGCATTACTATCCCGTACCTTATGGAATATTCATTCCAAACAAGAATCTCTTTGGGTAAGATGGGTTCATGGTGTCTATCTCCATGGGAATTATGTGTGGACTTTTGTTCCACACAATAGAGACTCCCAATTGATGAAGAGATTGGCTCAAATCCGAGACTTAATTGTCTCCAAATTCTCATCCATACCCGAGACAATTACACAACTTGGTAAGATGGTTTACAATGGTAAGTTATCTTCCTCAAAGGTGTATGATCTTCTTAGACTTAAAGCTACACCACATGTGTGGATGTCTTTTATTTGGAAGGCTTATATCCCTCCCAAATTCTCATTTATAATGTGGCTTGCATATCGGAATAGGCTGCCAACGTATGACAACTTGGTATATCTTGATGTTGCTAATATTTGTCCATTTTGTAAGGGTGAATCGGAGACGGTACCACACCTATTTTTTGAATGTCCATGTACATGGCAGCTTTGGAAAAATGTCAAGGGCTGGCTCGGTATATCAAGGCAAATTACGTCCCTTAGAAGTGCTATAAAGTGGATTCAAAGAGATTGCAAAGGGGTGCACATTCGAGCAAAGGCAACAAGAATAGCGTTTAGCTATAGAATATATTGGATATGGCGAACTCGAAATGCAATTCATTTTGATGGAACAATTCTAAAATTGGACGATATGCTTGCACATATTAAGTTTATGGTGTACAAAGTGCTCTACTCTCTATATCCGTACCATATGATTACCTTTTTATTTTGAAACATTTTTTGTCACGGCTTGATGGCTGATTGTTTTGCCACATGTGTTTTGGCTTTAGAAGTTATGCTTAGATAGCATTTGATGTTATAGGGTATCCATACTTGGATATGCCTCTATTTTTGTCCACATGATGTACATAAACTATGGTTACTATATACATATTATATATATATATATATATATATATATATATATATATATATATTTACATTTCACCAAAAAACTGATAGTGATAAACAAGGAGCAGACAAGAAAAGAGGTAAAACATATAGGTCTCTTATTCACTGAGTACAGAACACTTACAACATGCCCTTGTCAAAGCATGAGTCTCTAATTCTTAAACTATAATACTCCCTCTGTCCCGAAATTATCTTCATTCTTTCCTTTTTGGTCCATCCCAAATTTATCTCCTTATTTCCTTTTTTAGCAACTTTTACCCTATTCATTTACCCTAATACCCTTACCCATCTACACACATTCATTACTCCTAATTATTCTAACCGGCCACCACCACCCACCCAACCATACATATCCCCACTTTTTACGCTCCTCTCTCTCATGCCTCATTATATTCCTGTCTGGTCTCCTCTTGAACTTTCTCTCTTCCCCACAGACTCTCCTCTCCCTCCTCTGCGTGAACTTTCATCTTCTCGCCTCTAACTCCATCTCCCCTCTCTCTGTTCATCAACCCTAGTTGTCGTCTTTGGATTTGTGCAACCTTTGTGAAGTCTTATCCACTGAGACCAGATTTGAAATCGTAGTTCCATTAACGGCGGATAAAACCTCTATCTTCGTCTTGCATGGTTGTGCGGTGGTTGAAGACTCAGACGATTTCTCTTGTTGTCCCGATGTTGTCCCTCATTCCGAAGATTATCTCACATTGATGAGGGTTGAAGACAGTAAAGAAGAAGATTGGAGCGATGTTGGGCAGAAAGTTGAAGGATTACCAGAGGGGTTGCAATCAGACACTATGGAAAGTAGGATTCCATCCTCCATTGAGAGCATGGCCGCCATTTACCTTCGTCCTGTAGATACAACGTCAGAGGAGTATTTTCCACTTGTGTATCTTCCTCCGCATCCAGTCCCAAAAGTTCAACAACGCCTTGATGAATTGATTAAAATATGGCTATCTCTTTACAAAAAATGAAGGTTGTACATCCCTACTTACTAATCTTTTCACCTTATTGTGTCGGTGCATGGACTTGTAATGTCCATTATATGATGTCCGCATGT